TATATATATAGGGAAAAGTTATTAATAAAAACATTGAATTAATGCAATTACACAAAAAATTAGAATTTTTAACTAGTTAATTTGATACTAATATCAATATTTTTTTAAACTTTATGATATCTTCAAACTTATATTGTGATAACAAATTTATCGGTCATAACAATATGGGATTGTTTTGAGTAAGGATGGTAAGTTGAGAGGGTTAAATTGATTATGTGCTTAAATGTTTTCGTATAACCCACCATCTCATATTTAATTATGCATTTTTTTATGAGATAATTGTTTTATCTTATTGGGTTGTGGGAAGAAAAGTAATAAGTAAAAAGAAACCAGTTTCTGTGTGTGTGTATGTTTTTGAACCGAGGAAACATAAAGTGAAAGAGGAGAAAGAAAGAAGTTGATTCTGTGATTCTTAATCTGATTAATTGCTGCTGTTTGTTTTCATCTTTGTGAGTTCAAGGTGATTTTTAACTTATAAATTTTCATCTTACTATATTAAAACAGAAACATATGGTTCTTTATGTGGGGAAGTTTTGAAATTGTTTTTATGCTATTTTTATCATAATTTTGTATTTTGATATGATTATATCATTTGATTGTAATAAGGGTGGCATAATCAGATGGGTATATTTTGTAATAAGGGTGACATAATCAGGAGCTGTGTATATTGGGATAAGGGTAGCATAATCAAATTCTTGAAAAATGATGATTTTTTGATAATGAGATTCTATTATTGCATTTATATGATGCGATGAGGTTGATTTTATCGCATTGGTGTGATGCGATGAAATCGGGATAAAAATTGAAGTATTGGTTATTGCATCTATATGATGCGACAAGTTACTGTTATTGCATCTGTATGGTGCGACAAGGTGTGTTTATCGCATCTATTGGATGCGGCAAGTTGGGGTGCTCGCATCCTTGAGATGCGAGAAATGAAGTTATCGCATATAAGGGATGTGACAAATTTGGGTTATCGCATCAATGAGGTGCGATAAGATTGATGTATTTTTATATTTGGTGTGACAAGTTTATGTATAATGTGATAAATGAGTTACTTTATTGTATTGATGCGATATGTGGGTGTATCTCATCATTTTGATGCGACAAAAGAGGTTTGTTTGATAAAATGTTGTTTATTTGTTATTTGTACGAATATGGGTTTTATTAAGGCTGTGCATCGGGCGGGGCGGTTCGGATCGGACCCGAAAATGGACAACCAAATCGGGTTTCGGGGTAAGAAGACAGAACCCGAAGTATACAATTCGGGGTTCGGGTATTGTCGGGTTCGGATCTAATCGGGTATGGGTGGGTTCGGGTCGGGTTCGGGTTTCCATATAATATTGGCTTGAAACAGTTTTAGAAACAGTTGCCTTTTATGCTATATTCAATGGGTTTAGAAACAGCAGCTAATGGGTTTAATGGGTTTAGAAACAGCAGCTAATGGGTTTAGAAACAGCAACTAGAAGAAGTCTAGAACTAGAAACAGCAACTAGAAGTCTAGAACTAGATAGCAACTGGTATGGATGCACCATTACAATTTACAGCATAAAAGAATATGCCACTAATTGGCCTACACCATTACACCATTACATTACTTCATAAACTAATAAAAGATCATAGTACAAAACAAAAAGGAAAGAATATGCCACTAATTGGTTCAAATGTCCTTCCATTTAAACGAAGTCAAATAGATGGAAAAAGATTCTTTCTTTACAAGTCAATCCACTAAATTACACTTATACATCAATAGACAACATATAGTCTAAAAGAAACAGAAGGCCAATGAAAAGAGGTAGATTCAAAATTCAACCCAATCYAGTGTCATGCAAGTCAAARAAAGTAACCATAATGTTGTGTTGTTTATAGTATCTATACCTCCCATCACAAACTCTCACTTTGGTCATCTTGTCTTCACATCAATGCATCTGTTCTTCACTTAGATCAGTAGTCCTGAAATATTGAGGAAACTTGAKAAAGTAACATAAAATAAAACAAGAGGTATATTATCTAGTATGRCTTGTACAAAGAAATAAAATAYCTTTCAAAATTCAAAGTGRCCACTTCTACAATATATCATCTAGCTGTAGATCATCTACATCAACAGCTGGAACCGGAAGAGAATCCTCTTGGTCATTGACAGAACTTGAACTTCCAATTCTCATATTCATCATGTCTGCGTTTATAGAAGTATGTAAATTTAATATGTAAATATACATATTAAAGTTGAAAAGGTATACTAAAATACTAAATACGTAAATACTGTCGTACCTTTCTCAAACTTTTCAATATCAGCTATGTTTTCTTCAACTGCAATTGGCTGACTAGGGCCTCTTAGCCAGTCTTGTGTACATATCAGGGCTTCTACCATTTTAGGAGATAGAGAACTCCTAAAATTATCCAAGACCCGACCACTAGTACTAAAAGTAGACTCAGATGCCACAGTTGAAATGGGAACAACAAGCACATCTCTAGCCATTTTTGAAAGAATAGGAAACCTTTCACTATTAACCTTCCACCATCTTAAAATATCAAAATCGTTTGCCTCATCTATGGTCGACTCTGCTAGATAAAGTTCAAGTTCACTCTTCTTGTTGAGTGAAGCCCCACTTTCCATCTTTTGTTTCTTAAGTTGGCTCTTTAATCTAGATTGTACCCTTCCAACAGAAACATTCTCACACTTAGTGGGTGGAGGAGGCATCATAGTGGTAGAAGGTTCGGAATATGTTGACACATACTCTTGAAACAACATATYYAATTTAGACTTTACCTTTTCAAAACATAACTTACCTTGATCCTCACCATACATTTGATTGAGCTGGACTTGCATGTACTCAACCTTGTCTCTGGGGTCCAATATATTGCCAAAAAATATGATGAAGTTCATCTTATCTGGATCACCCCAATATTTATTGAACTTCTCTTTCATTTTAATACCCATTTCCTGTTCATAAATCAAAACAAAAAGTTACTAAACATCCAAATATAAGTAAATAGTAAAGGTAATATTAAAGGAAGATAAACATACCTCTTCAACTTTCGACGTAGATTGTAACATATCGGCAATAATGCAACTCAAATCTGAAATCTCGGTTAAGAAAGAATTTGAGGTGACATAAAGTGAGCCAGATATCCTAATTGTCATCTCATAAAATGTCTTCAAGAATATGACCAAACTGTCAACCTGTAACCAATCAAGATAGGAAGGCAGCGAATCACCCAAATCCAAATGTAACGCGGTGTCACTACTCTCATACGTTTCAAAAACTTGTCTGTAACCTATTGTGGTTGGAAGCATTATATAGGTGGAGTTCCATCTAGTTGGAACGTCAAGACATAATGAACTTTTCTCTTCCACTTCAAGCAAATCTGCAAGTTCTCTAAACTTCTTCAACCTAGATGGAGAACCCCTCACCCACCTAATGCAATCCYTAATCTTTTTAACTGATGAATCTGCTAATTTCAATCCATCTTGAACAACCAAATTAAGAATATGAGCAATGCATCTCATATGTATGTACTTTGCCCTAATAGAAGAACCACCCCAATTCACCACCTTCTTCATCATGAACCCAACGRCAATGTCATTGCTTGATGCATTATYAACTGTGATGGTGAAAATATTTTTTATTCCCAAATCAAGCAAACAACTCTCTATGGCCTTAGCTATACTTTCCCCTTTATGTGAATATATAGGCACAAATGAGATGACATTTTTATTTAATTTCCACTCATCATCAATAAAATGTGCAGTGACACACATATAATTGATTCTTTGGAYAGATRTCCACGTATCAGTGGTCAAACTAATCCGCTGCGTGCTTGACTTAAACAATTTCTTAAGGTTGGTTTTCTCTTCAAAGTAAATACTGAATATATCCCTATTAACTGTCCATCTTGAAGGGATYTTAAATCTAGGGCATGCAGCCTCAACAAACTGTTTAAAACCTCTCCCTTCAACAAACCTAAATGGAAGTTCATCCATTATAATCATTTTCGCTAACATCTTTCGAACAACCTCTTGGTTAAAAACCCAAGAGGTCAAAGCACCATCACTATTCTCAGATTTTGCAGATTGAAATGCAAGAATTGACTTCTTTGTTTCCTTAGCATGTGGATTCTTTAAACAAGCTTTCATGTGGTTATTTAAAGAGGAAGTACCATGCTTTTTAGCCTCAGCTGCATATACTTTTGAACAATATAAACACTTACCTTTAATGACTACCCCATCCTCGTTTAAAATCTTCTCAAAATGGTCCCAAACTTGAGATCTGGATTCTAATGTTTTCCTTTTTCTAGTACTATTGACTTACGGTAGGATTAGATTGTGAAGGAGGAGCTTGATGATGACTGTTACTTCCGGACTGAGACGTGCTAATTTTTTCCATCTACAATTGTAAACAATCTAAAAATATATTAATATGCTAGAAGGCAAAGGTATGCCAATTTCTGTCACTGATATCTTCGCAAACAAAAGTAGGCAAAGGTATGCCAAAAGGTGACGTTTATCACTAATAACAGTTTGGCATATGTCTAAGAGGGAATTGATGCGACAAATTTGAATTAAAAACATGCATATTTCATTCTCATGTTGGATGATATAAATTTCAGTGTAATCACATAAGAACATTAACCTAAGATTAGCATTCAAAAAGACTGAAGGAATCAAGGAATTAAACCTGTAAACCGATACGCGAAGAACCCTGTGTAGCAGCAACGAAGAACCCTGTGTGTGTAGTGTGTACTGTGTAGTGTGTAGAACGAGCAGAGTTGCCGGCCAGCAGAGTCGGAGTCGGTCGCCGGACAGCAGCGTCGGGTGCAGCAGCGTCGGCCGGACAGCAGCGTCGGTATGCTTAGATCAAGCCTTTATTGATGCCTTGCCTGTTTTCATGTACACAGCCTTAGTTATGGGTGCTAAAAAATCATTTGATTGTGCAGTTTGTTTGTCTGAATTTTGTGAGATGGATAAGTTGAGATTACTCCCCACCTGCAGCCATGCTTTTCATATGAATTGTATAGATACATGGCTGCTATCCAATTCAAGACACTGGAACCTGAACAAATGATTGTTGAGAAAGGAGTTTTCTTGGTGAGACTTGGGAAGTTCAGAAAAATGATTGAAGGTGAAGAGGAGACAGGTGGAGAGTCTAGTAGCAGCAGTTTGGATGCAAGAAGATGCTAAACAATTTAAGAAGAATAACAAAATAACAAGATAACAAAATAACAAGAGGAGACAGGTGGAGAGTCTAGTAGCAGCAGTTTAGAGGGTTATTTAGCTAAACGACCTCTTGACAAAATAACAAGAAAATCAAGTCGAGCATCATATGAAATACATATGAAACAGTCGAGCATCATAGTGGCCACGCATCAAGCTAACTAAACCATCAAATGCATCCAATTTTCTGTATCAAATACATATGAAACAGTTGAAACCATTAAAGAGAGTTTCTTTTTACATCTGCCCAATTTCCCATTATGGAAGAAGTTCCTTTTTAGACTTACAGCAATTAACAAATAACAATTGAAACCATTAAAGGGAGTTCCTTTTTACATTTAGAGCAATTAACAATGTAGGGGATAAGAGTAGGACTATAGTAGAAGGACCTTACTGTTAATATGTTAATTCTTGATTCCTTGTCACTTCAACACTCCAACAGTCAATCGCCAATGCACCCAACAGTGAACACTGAGTCAATCGTCAATGCCCAATGCAAACAGTCAATCGTCGTCACGCCAACAGTGCATCGGTCGGAGTCGGACGGGCTGTAGTCGGCGGTTTGTCTATGTAGGCCGTATTCTCTTCTCTTCAATTTGACCTAAGTCGCTAATCGCTAAGCTTCCCTTCAATTTTGAGTCAAACAATACAGAACTAACAAAAGTCGGTCGAATCGAAGGTCGCGTCCTTATTAGGGTTTAGGGTAAATCGGGTTTCGGGTGGGTTCGGGGGGTGGGTCGGTAGACCCTACCCGACTTATATTTCGGATTCGGATATCGGATGGGTTCGAGGCTATTTCTGCGGGTTCGGTTCGGGTTTCATCGGGCGGGTTCATCGGGTAATTCGGGTTGGGCGGGTTTTGCACAGCCCTAGGTTTTATAAAAGCGTTTTGGTAATTTTCACCCTGTAAAAGCTATCAACAGAATTTTTCACTAGACCTTATGGTCTAACCCTCATTTTGGGGTTTTAAAAAGTGCATTACAGGTCGGGCACAATTAGACAATAAGGGGAAGTGAAAATTATGAAGAATTTATAATTGCTTACATGTGGATTTTTCGGATGATGTGATAATGTTGTACTTGAATACTTGTTATATTTACAAGTCTTGTACTGGGATTATGTGGAAAAACTTGGTAGCTCTTTTTCTAACGTAGCTTTTGTATATTTTGGACCGAATGTGTAAAGTTGTATTTCATGATATATGAAATATATGTTTATATGCAAATGTGATCTTGGGGTGTTACAAGATTGGTATCAGAGCATGAGTTTAAGAGATTTAGGTATTTCAACATGATGCTAAGACTTCAATTGTATTTTTTGCATATTAGGGGTCCTTGACATATGTAGAAACTTTGGGAAAATATGATGGGTTAAAAGAACGATATGCAAGGTAAATTCAAATTACAACTGATCAATGTAATCATGGGTTTACAGGTACATATTTGTGCTTGGATACCTTATTATATTTTAGGAATGTGATTATGTAAATAATATATTTTGTAAATTGACAGAAGACAAGTCAATCAAAAGGTCTAAAAGGATTGCCCTCATAAGCCCGGACGAGAGAGAAAGTTCACCTGAACATGTTCCTGAAAAATCTACCAGTGGGACAGGGTAGAGGAAGAGGTCGAGGCAGGGGCAGAGGAAGGGGACGCGGAAGAGGAAGAAGTAGTCATCCTAAAGTTCATCTAGATCATGGTGAATCAATTGTGCAAAACATTAATAAAGAACCAATTCAACATTCTGAGTATGTTACTCGAGATATGTTAAATGAAGAAATGAGTGAATTGAGAAATACTTTGACTTTTGTTCTGGGAATACCTGCCAGAGTGGAAACAGAGCGGGTAGAGATTAAACTACAAATCCAATCTGCAAATACAAAAGGGGTGATATTAAGATGTTTTTGACGTGTAAACCCCCAACATTTTCTATAGAAAGAGATCCTATGAAGGCGATGTGCTGGTTAAAGGAAATCGAACTAGTTGTTGATACATGTAAATGTTCTTATGAAGATTGGGTCAGATTTATTGTGTCTATGCTTAAGTCAAATGCTTTATATTGGTAGGATGTTGAATCTTTGACAAAACCAAATATTTTACAAACTATATCTTGGATGAAGTTTGTTGATCGATTCAAGGAACAATTATACCCAAAAGTGGTAGTAAGGTAATTGAAGATGAATTCTTGAAGTTAGAACAACTCAATCAAACAGTAAGGGAGTATACAGAAAAGTTCAATGAACACTCCCATTTTGCTGAACATTATATGTCATCTGAATCTCTTAAAGTTGAGAGGTATATTTGGGGATTGAAATCTTCAATCCGAGAATTTGTGATTGAGATAAATCCTGTTACATTCTCATTGGCTGTAGACGCAGCAGAAACAACCGAAAGACTTGCCATGGTAAGGAAGAAGGGGGGGGGGACAAATCTTTGTGTACTGACCCTTAATCGAATAGTTTGGGCTTATACTTGATCTGCTATTCTGCCCCATCCTAGCTGAGGACGCAGCAGTTGACTGGACATCTAGAGGTAAAGCACTTCCCCATTTTTACGCCCCATGCCCTCTGTGTGGCTACATGGGGGTGAAAAAAGGAAAGAGATGGATGGGGTTTCTCTCGCTTTTAGCATAGTGGGCCCCCAGTGAGAAATAAGAACAGGTAGAGGGAAAAAAAGATGATAGAAAATAGAAAGTGGGAGGGTTCTTCGGCAGAGGTTAGAAGACCAAAGTTTATGAAAACAGAAAATTGTCTAGTTCAGTGATTCAGTAAGTGACCATATCAGAGTAACCGTGCTAACCATGGTGATTGTAATATAAATTAAAGAGTTTGTTTCGGGTGTGGAAAACTGAGGCATATCTCCCGAGATCGTCAGATCCCTCAACGTTGTTACCAATGTGATTCTGCTGATCACATAAAATCAGACTGCCCTCAGTTAAAAGAATCCGAGATTGACTCTTGGTGGAAACACTTCAAGTACTCGTGAGGGAGTCAACATTAGGAGGGGTGAATCTAATAGGGCGAGGGAACGGTATTTTCATATGTCAAGGGGGGAGGCAGAGGAAATTCCGAGGTGGTAACTGGTATGTTCCTTATAAACTCAGTATATGCAAATGTGTTATTTGATTCTAGTGTAAATTATTTGTTTGTATAACTTTTATTTGTTGGGTGTTTATACGTGAAATATGTGCCTCTTGACTATGCCTTAGTAGTTGATACTGCAAACAATAGTCAAGTATCTACTAGCCATGTGTTTAATAACTGCCAAATTAAAGTTCAAGGATGTGTGTTACCGATTCTTTTATTCCCGATACGATAAGGGAACTCGATGTAGTGGTGGAAATGGATTGGTTGCCAGAGAATCAGGCCAGCATTGTGAGTAATAAAAATATGATACGCATTGATTTACCGGGGAAATGGCCAATTTTGATTTATGGTGATCGGTGAGATCATCACACCAGCCTGATGTCTGTTATGAAAGCTCGAAAGTGTATCCAGAAGGGGTGCCAAAGTTTTATGGCTTATGTCGTCGATGCAAAGAAAGAGAAAGGTCAACAGGAATCCATCCCAATCATCTGTGAATATCCTGAGGTATTTTCAGATGAATTGGCTAGATTTGGGCATCATGATTTTTTAGTTATGCCGTTCGGGTTAAATAATGCTCCAGAAGCGTTCATGGATTTGATGAATAGGGTATGTAATGAATATCTTTGTAAATTTGTTATTGTATTTATTGACGATATTCTTTTATACTCACGATCAGAAGCTGAGCATGTCAAACATCTTCGTCTAATTCTTGAACTTTTAGAGAGGGAAAAATTGTACACAAAGTTGTCCAAGTGTGAGTTTTGGTTAAGAGAAGTCCAATTTCTGGGTCACATTGTTTCTGAGGCAGGGGTAAAAGTTGATCCTGCAAAGATTGAGA